CCCCCCCCCCCCCCCCCAATTCCACAACTCTGTTAGGGGGACCCCGACAAGGTAACAGTATACATCTGATCCCTGAAGTAATTGTAAAGGAGTAAAGGAGCCCCTTGTGCCCGCAGTATATAACTACCAATTACCTACATGGACCCTCGGGAACTCCAACTGCGATCTAGCATCTTTGTTCTTGTCCGCGGAGTCTTTGCCACCATAGAACCAGAAGCAACGATACTGGTAGTCATGCCAGGACAGTACGCGAGGCAGCCACGTTTCAAACCTGACGGGGCTCAAATTTCGGGAATTCAGGGAATTCAGGTTTAGGATTTGCAGGCCCCAAACCCTAATCCCTTTGCAGGTGCTGCACCTGAACCAACAGGGACCTAGAATTCTGACTGGCCCTACACCCTAAACCCTAACCCTCGCAAACAATTGCCGTTCAAAGCGAGGTTTGGGCTCACGCGAGGTTCTATTTAGCTTCTGGAAGGTGACCGGCACACGTGGGCGGCGACTTTATTCGCAAGCGCTCTACGCGGATGGTACACCTTCTTGGGCTCCCTGGAGTATGCGTTGGGGACCTGAGTTTACTGTTTGGGACTTTCGGCCCTGGTTTGTGTTTCAGCCATTCACCCAACTTTTGCTTTTTGGGTGCTCTGTATAGCCCCACCCCATCTGATATTGGAAGTACTCCTTATATCCAAAAAATCCCGTAGAGTTGTTACCATTCGGCTTATCAGAACAAGGTCCTGAATATAGGGACGTTGAAAATCCAGGCACCCCAAACCACCTGAACCCAAAAGCCTAACTACCAGAATCCTATACCAAGGAGCTCGTAGCACGCGCGACGAGCTAGCTCCTCAGTTGCCAGGCCAAAGTCGCCAGCATGACCCTCCTTCATGATGGACTTCCTTGGCTAAGAAGCTTGGGCTCAGGATATTCAAGGGGATCTACGGGGCCAAGTAGGGTTACATAGGATTATACAGGAGGTAGGTTAGGTAGTGCTATCTGAACTAGTCGGTTCAAAAAAATATAGGATATTTTGCGTGGTAATAGCTTAGATTTTGCCCTAGCTTGGCTCGGGCCCCGAACTTGAGAATTGATGCCTCAACCTGTCTTGGGTAGTTGCATGTGAGTCAAGGTTTACTTCCTGATTGGTGTTTTAGTTGCTGCAGCCCTGAAGATACCAAAGCACGATGCCCAAATGCTAGTACATGGAACTCTTTCAAGCTGGGGGTATATGAAGCAACTTTTTTGGCAACTACAAGATGCGAGAACATGTTCGCAGTTTGATGGCACTTACCTAGGTGTGTAGCATCAAGGGCTTGTAGAAGGTCAACCTCTGTGTTCAAAGTAGGATCACATGTTTGTAATCCCAACGCAAGTGACAAATTAGCCACTGGACAGGGACGCTTATATCCTCCCAATCTGTCGTCACCATTCTAAGGGACCCAGGAAACACTCACATCAAAAATGCCAAGCTAGAAGTTCCTAGAAATGGCGTACCCTCAGGGAGGGCCGGCAAGAAAAATGGAGATGATATGGGGGGGGCCTTTCTGGGGGTCACACAGATGGCATTTGAGAAGACACAAGTCCTGTACTAGACCTTCAAATCTGAGGTAGCCGGGGCACAGTTCCGGCGGGGTGAACGTCCACACGGGCCCCTCTTGCGAGAAGTCCTGTTTGGGCACATTCAGGATAGAAGGTATATACGGAGATTGAAGGGATGGGGATCTTACCCCGGCCTAAACAGACATGGGAGCCCAAAATGGGCTCTGCAAGGACTACTGCGCTGAAAGTAATGTCCTGCCTACATCGGTCTCCATGCTTGTTTGAAGGAATGTAGGGTTTTGGTGCAATGAGGCTTGGGGGTTCAGAGCGTGGTTCCTAGGGTCCCTACATCGGGAGCATTCAAAGCCCTGCATGATGAACCCTGAGCTCAAAGTCCGCAACCCCTGAATCCTAAACCTCTGGCCCCAAACCCTGAACCTCCCAGTGCCCTGAAAAAATGGTTCATCCCTGAACTGTGGCTTACATGAAATCAGAGTGTCCGGTATGGCGTCCACAGGAACCGCGCTGGCTTCGCATGCCTGCTTTTACAAGAAGGATGGGGGCGTTGAATTCCATGGTGCGAGATCCATAATTTGGGGCTTAGAATCCTACATGGGCATTCGAGATACTAAGCTGGTGGCCAGTACTCTGCAGTTTCCGAGTGTCCCCAACACCAGGTCTTGTCTTCTTTCTTTCCCTTGGACACAAAAGTCTTCCGCACCCCCGGCCTACCCGCCTAGACTACACACACAAAAGAGACACAACTCAGAATACTTAAGCTCAAGGTCTGCCAGGCCTAAGATCTTGCTCTGAGGGCACACGACGGGAAAATCATGGGTGGGGCTCAGGCACAAGGCATGGTAGCCCCTTCCAAAATCTTTTTCTTTACAGCAAGCTCGCCCCAATTCACCACAAAGTGAATAGAAAAGATTCACATGAGCTATAGTCTAAACTCCTAGTATCCCCCTTAATAACCCCTATAGTAGTCCCCTATATAACACGCCTTTAAGGAGTTCAGACTATAGCTCACATAGTTCTGAGAAACTCAAATGAAACTTCTGCCATGGGCTGAAGAAGATGCTACGGGTGGCTCCCAGGTGATCTCGTCCGTGCAGTGGTTGTACCAGTACGTCTCACAGTTGACTTGCGGATGAGCCATTCCTTGGCTTTCTGTCCTCTACTATGGCCATGTTGGCAAGTTACGGATGTTTTCGGGATCCTTCTACTGTAGGTCTTATTGTTGCCAGGGCATGTAAAGAAGAACAAGATCGAGACGTCAAGGTCATATCTTAAACACTGCGATGGGGCTTTAGGAGTCATGTTACTATGTAGTTACATAAGTTTTCAAAGTGGACACCTTCCTCAATTCTTCAGGCTTTTATACTCTACACCCTAGAAAATGTAAAGATTCATACACACATATCTATATATATATATGTATATGCATATCTACAATCCGTACATAATGCCATAAGTCTCGCTAAGGGGACGCCCATATGCGCAAGTCTGACATTTTCTGTTGTCGGGTCTTTGAGCTTCCAAAAGGAAAGCGACTTCTGTCTGGAGCTTGGCTTGGAGTGCTGGGATATATAGAAGTATGGGGCATATGTAGCGTTGTTGGGTTCGGGGGCCTCATCATTCGAATCATGGAAACTCAAATGGACGAAATGGACGTTGGGTCTATATAGGGGTTTGGAGGGATGGTGCTGTAGAGGTCTAAAGAGGCATCAAAATGGATTCTCATAGGATATCACACTTTAGTTGATATAAGGACCACACGCAAAAAACTTGGGGTGCTCTCCTAGTAACCCTACCTTCCAGTATGCAACATGCCCCCACCCAGCTGATGTTACTCAGCATGCCCACCAATATATTTGGGCTTTCATGGGGTATGTTGAGTATTGTCAAGATGTGGCTCTTCGTTACCAAACGAGGAACCGGTTAACAACTAGCTATTTCTCAGATCCCACCATAACCGTATGAACCATCAGGGGCACCTGATGAGCCTCAACCGCCTCAACCATCAAACCGCACAAAACCACGTTTTTCTTGGTTGCTGTTAAGGAACTTAAATTAAGTTACCATAATGGGTATATATATATATAGTAAATAACAGCAACCCAGTTTTTTGCCAACCGTATGAAGGTTACTGAGGCTTCAAGCACGCAGCACAACTCACCCTGAACTCCTAGTCTCAAAGCTGCAAACTTAGACCTGACCATTGCATGTGTATCTTGCTGGCAAAGGTAGAAGCGGCTGTTAGGATTATTCTGGTGAACATTGTATCATTGTAGGGACCCATACGTTTATTCCTCACTAAAGAGTACTAGAATAGGCAGGTATGGTGAGATCCATGGGTACTTATAACTTATCACCTACTCATCACTGCACGTAAAACCATGCAAAACCCATGCTTAAGCCCTCAAGTCTTCTAACATGGTCATTGTCAGGTTATAACGGTGATATCCGCAATTCTAGTCGGGTTTACCTACCCATGGGTCTCCAAGTATCTGAGCCCGAAGTCCTAAACTCCACGCCCAAGGTGCGCTCTATCCAGCCGTCCTTCAGAATCCGCGAGGTTCGCGAGTTCCAGTCCCAGTATGCTTGAAACTCCTCAGAACTGGTTCCCCTTCAGGGTGCTGAGAAAAACAAGCAGTCGTGTTTAGGGTTTATATATTGGCTTGTAACATAACACAACTTAAACCATACTCAAGATTGACCCTCAGAAAAGCTTAGGCTTCATGCCCTGTACCGCAAATGCTTTCGTTCTCGTCGCTAGAGTAAGGCTATGATCCGGGGCTTAGGGCTTGGGGGAAAGTCTAGATTCCCCTCAATGGGACTTTCCCAATATCAAGGGGTCCCTATGTATGTCTACATGAATTAGGGCTAAGCAGCTCAGGTTTCGTGAGTCAAGGGGACAGTCCAAATTTGGGTCTTTCTAGGGCTCATGTTACGCCAACTGGGCCTAAACTCTGGACCCTAACCGGGGTTTGGAAAGAGATCTGTGCAGTGGTATTAGTGTGGAGGGGATGGACCGGGATGGATATCACGGAGGCACCATGTAGGGGTCTCTCAAAAAGGCCCGGCAATTCGGGACCCTGTGAATTTCTTGGGACTCTACGAAGATGATTGATTGAAGGGCCCCCCTCAAGGACTATACAGGGATCATGTTGATAAACTCTCCTCGAATCACATGGACGACCACCTAGGTGGATATACCTTGAACCCTGGAACCAAAACGGCTGCACTTGGAAAGGACAAAGCCCCGTTAGATACTGCGGGTTGTAAGTGCTGCAGGGATTTCTCTTTCGTAGCAGTACAGTCAACATTGCAGGGAGTCTCTCAGGGTCGCACATACTCTAGCTACACCTGACAGGCAAGTCTGGCCAACAATTGTCAAGATTCTTCCTCGGATCCACCCTCCAAGCTCATGCTTGGGAGAGCAGCCGTGCAGTCATCCTCATTCGGGACGTCCGCGGACACGAAGAGGTAGTGGTGTGCCTCCAAACCATAGGGGGCTGAAAATGAAAGCCTGATTCAGTGAGCAACTGTAGAATAACCCATGCTTTTCAGGACAGCAGTATGTAGGGGGGCTCCACCACCTTTTGCTGCCCTTGATCGCCTTGATCGTGGCGCCTGCACTTCTCAGTAGCATGCCGAGGAGCACTTGACCAGATTCAAGCCAAGCCCTTCTCGCAAGAGCCAAATCTCCAAGCAAAGGACCCTTAATAAACATACCCGAAGTACACTGGATTTGGCCGCAACAGAAGGTGGGCATTTACGAAAAAGCCTCGTCCAACAAACCTCGAATGGGTCATTCGTCGCGCAGTCCCAGTACGAAAGACGCGTGAAAGGCACGACAACCAGAAACAATATGCGCACGCTCCTTTCCTTGTCGTCCCTCCCCTTTCTCCTCCCACCTGCCTCTGCTCCGTCCTCTGCCCTCCCTACCTGCCTCTCCTACCTCCACACAACTCTACAGACCCAGCCTTGCCACTGATGCGATCCGTGCTCGTGACGCCGTTAGTACATTCCATCCGCGAAGAGCCTTGCCCGTATGGGGGCTGCAGAACCACGAGGTTTCTGGGGAGCTAGTTAACAACCTGAAAGCCACGCAACTGCGCAGACCAACTATCAAGTATCGAATAATCATCAACCTGGACTTGACAACAGGATTGATGGGAGCGCACCAGAGCTAAACAAACGAGCACACACCAAGCACGTGAATCATACTTTCTTTTCCCTAGAACCTCGTCCCACATCTCTGCACCAAGAATCCGTTTGCATAGCCAGCTTCTGCCTCATGTCTATGGCGCGCGCCAGAGACCTTGCGAAACTAGTAAACAGATGGGTTTAGGGATCAGGGGTTGCGGCTGCTTCATGCTGCTATGCGAAGCCAAAGACCAATAGACATGTAACCCTCACGCTCATACCTGCAGAGAAAGGCCGAACCGAGTCTTCGCTAGCTTGCACAAGAGTCGCATACATAGCAAACAAGCCCACCCTAAACCCAGGTCCCTCCTTTAACAAGGACCTCTAGAACAACCCACTTCTCTCGCCGAAGCGCTGAACCCTATAAGTACAAGTCGTAGAAACCAGATAAGTTCATAAGTTCCACGTACCCGTGAACATCTCTATCCCGTCCCTTTCAAATACCATTATGGCCACAAGGCCCACGTCCGGCGTCCAGTGGTCTCGTGCCCCGATGCACTCTTTGCCCGGGAGTAATAGGAAGCCACCTGCCCTCCTGGCAGTTAAGGGTTTAAAGTTAAGGTCTAACTACGTAGGGTTAAGGGATGGGCGTATAGGCTGTTAGTGCGGGTAATCGCCTCCCTACCCTACTACTATCAAATGTTCCCAGAATATTGGAGTGTACCACCATGAGGAACATTTAGTATTAGAGCGGGTGGAAGGTTTGATATGGGGGAGGGGATTATGTGGGAGGTCCAGGTAGGGTTCAAGGTTTCCGGGCAGGATATGGTGTGGTGTGCGCATGTGTAGCTGTAGGTTTGAGGGTTGAGGGTTTGGGGATTACGGGGTTGGTGTTTGTGGTGAAAAGACTGGGCAGGTCACTGGATGATGTTGGGATCACCCCCGCTTCAGGTGTAAGGGCTACCTGAGCCTCAAAATAATGACAGCCCAGAGCCCCAACAATTAGGCTAGGTTCCCCAGTAACCCTTATTAACAAGGGCACCCATGTTTCCTAGTGTTCAGCTTTAGTGAGGAGACCCCGGAATAGAAATGGAAAAGGGGCACCCTAGGTAAAAAGGCCCAATAGCCTCAAATCTGAGGAAACCCTCCGAGCCATGTGCCGCAGGCTTCCCGATGACTCATCCCAAGAACCCGAAACAATGTCAAGACAATCTGCTACATTGTGCTTGAGCCCCATGCCTTCGTCTTCCAGGTCGTATGGCGATGTTACATCCCAACCTGACTGTTCCGAAAAGCTGGGGCTTCAGATATCTTCCCGCAAAGGTGCAGAACCTGTGCTGCACTTGGCAGCTTAGTTGTTTCGGCACTTGGGCTGCAGGTTCCCACAAATCGCTTCTTGCAGGGCTTCGAGTTAAAGAAAAGGCATAGCGCTGACAAGCCAAGGCCTTGAGTGTTTTGAAAGGAGCGATCAAACAGCGATCTCTTGAAGGACAGTGTGAAGCAAAGCTTCACCCACGCCAAACAAACATATACTTGGAGCGCACACATACCATCTCAAAGAAGGCCACAACCAAAAGCATACCTATCTAAACGCAACGAAAGCTTTCAAACCCGAGCCCTGGCGGGCATGCTTTGCGTGCCATGGCGCTCCCTCGATGTAGCGTTGAAGGGGACATCTTGCCCGTGCAGCGGTCTCATGGCTAGTGCAAAGGGACAGCCACTAACTCAAAACCTGGGTTGTAGATGACTTTGACTGGGTAAGGATAATCATAGTCTAAATTCCTCTAGAAAAATGCTTAAGTTCTGGCATCTATGACTATGGTAGTGTAACTCGGGGCACCGTCCTGAAACTCACAAGCGCTATGTCGCTATGTTCTGTTGCAAGCCATAATGGGAGAACTTGCCATGACCATGCCGCGTAAGGCGTAAGTAATGTGACTTGGAGCTTGTTCGGGCTTCATGCAAGGAGCTATGTGATATACTTCCGGTGTCTTCTCTGCCAGGTGGCTCAAACGGCTTAAGAGTGAGGGTTTAGGGCTCAATCGTGCATATGCGTGGCACATCTTTGGGGCCTGAGGTTATGGCAGAGACTAAAAGTGCGGCTTTGGTGTCTAGCAAACCTGCCATCCTTGCCCACCAACGTCTGAGAAAGCTGGACGCAGCCAGGCAGGCAGGCAAAACTGACTGAAGTAGCACATTCCCGCCAATCTCACGCAGGGCAAATGGGCACTCAAACCTCTACACCAAGCCCTTTGACTGAGGCATGCACATGTCAGATATCCCACAGGAAATGAATGGAAAAGGAAAATGAAGCTACTATAGTATATTGGGGTTATATAGGGGTGACGAGAAAGAAAATGGAGACTACCATAGTATGTAGTAGACTCTAAACTAGATCATAGTTGGTGAGTTCCTTAAGGCCACAATAGGCCAAACCAAATTACACGTTTCCTTGTAAGCGGATTACACGAAGTCAGCAGGGCTAAGGTGTACCATGCTACTAAGACATGCTAGAGCTAACTTGGGACAATTAGCTAAACGCACCAGGCCAAACAAGTGGAGTTGAACTGTCAGCCCGCTTATGTGATTTTAGGCTTTCGGTTCATTCAGCAGGGGAATAACATGGACACGAACTGGCAGTACACTCATCGGCCGTCAGCCCAAACCTAGTGAAAGCTCTGAAGAAAAATATGAGACAGGGGACCTGGCAAAGCAACCAAAAGAAATACGGCCGGCGAGGGGGAAGAGACTCTGTTGGCAAACAACACGTGACATGTCACATGTCTCTAGGACCAGAACCAAAACTTGAGTGCGCGCACGAAGCCATGCCTCCAGGCGGACAAACTTCTCCAGTTCTGGTTAAAGCCAAGGCAGCAAGTGTCCGACCCACCAACCTAAGCCCTACCGTGCAAGTTAAACCCTAAATTTCTAAATTAGGAAAACGCATGGCCTGAACCGTTTAGACCTGCCCAGACATTGCACCCCAAATCCAAGAAGTTAAAATCCACACCATCATTATCTTCCGGAGATCCCTCCCGTCGAAAGTGCAGAGAAAGAGGGCATGCTGTGTACAGTTCATTGTGGAATCCCCGGCACAGCATATAACCGCCACAATGCCAACTGCAATGCCAGTTATGATAGTACTTTGCACCACAACTGAGCACTGGTCCTAAACTACGCCTATTCCTTGATAATACAAGTAATAATGGTAATGATGGTAAGAATGGAAATAACAATCATTATAATCAAGGTACTAATAGTAATAATAATGAAAATTATGTTATTAATAATCATAAGAACGGTAAGTATTGCGATTAAAAAGACTCTTCAGCCAGACGTGTGTGGCATGTTCGTGAGACGGTTGTTTTTGAAATGCCACAACAGTTCCCTTCGCCAAAAACCTCCTTGATGCCATAATCCCACAAGCCCTAAGAAGCAAATACCAAAAGCCGAAACTTCAAAAACTACATCTGTGCATCTCTCTCTCTCTCTATATATATATACACACATATCTGTCTCTGAAGCTCTTGCTATCCCTACACTCGCCCCAAAATCCCGAGCCCCATGACCTAACAACATGTTCCAACCCCAAACCCCCCGGGATCCTAAATCCAGAAACCCTGAGTCACCGGCAGACGTGGGCGCAGGCAGCCACGATGAAGCACCGTAGGGCCCCAATGGCTGGGAAGCCGCCAAAGAGGGACGCGCTGCCCCAGAGAACCTCTTTCAGGGCTCAGGAATCATGAGGTTTAGGGTTTAGGGTTTGGGGTTTCAGGAAACTGCTATGGTATATTGGGGGTATACGGAGATAATGGAAAATGGAAAGTACTATTTAAGGTTTTTGAAGTATGGATTTCGTTTTGGGGGGAGCGGTTGTAGCGGTAGGATTTAATAATGAAAGAAATACAAGAAGCTGCTTGATAAGGAGGACTTATTGCGATATGGGGTGTTTACGGGGATGTTATATTGTCAGTGGCTTAGGGTCTATAAGCATGCGAAGGAACGATGCAAGACAAAAAATCGGCCACAGGGGGAGACTAGCAAGAAACGATCTTCCAGAGTGATGCCCAGCATTTTAGTCACGCTTATCTCCGATTTCGGGCTGTATGATCATGAAACTTTGTGGGGGGCGGCCGCAAAAATTGCGACGTGATGAAGTGCACGGCCAGTTTTCGGCTTGTGCGTTCGGGCTGACGGCTTAACTAATCCCGTCCAAATAAAAATGCCCAGACACCCCTAGTTCTACGGGAACCCCATTGCCTGTTTTGCGCTGTGGCACGTAAGTAGATGTAGATGGGTGATGATCAAAGTTGCCCTTCCTGGGTGGTCAACATTTGCACGGCCCAACATTGGGAAAAATCAGGCCCTCCCCATGTTGCTATCCCAAACCCCTGCCCCAAACCTACATGCCTCCATATTCTTGTTTCTAAGCTAATTATAACTTCAGCTTTCTCCTGCCCGGAACTCCGGAAGGCCCGAAAGCGGCTGCCCCTGAAGTCTTCAGCCCCAAGCCCGACACGATAAATCTCGAATCCTACACCCAAACTTGCCGTCAAACCCTATCCCCATAGGCACATCCCCACAATATCCTAGACCCAGAAAACAAAATCCGGTCTGCCGAGATCTCTACAAATGAGTAAAGAATATCCGTACAGCTGTCTAGGCGACTACAATGTTACAGAAGACCGGTAGATCCAAACTTCCTGTGCGAACCTTTTGCGCCCTTGCATTAAGCATTGGCCTGGTGCATGCTGGTTACGAAGTATCCCACCTGAATTGTGACTCATGATTGCGCATTTGCTACATGTCATGAGCCTACAGGGAGAGGACCCCTGATATAGGCAACTCACAACAGGGAAAAATAAATTTTAAGTCCGGTGCAAATATTACTGTAGA